AACACAAACACTCTTCTGCGTAATCATGCTCAAGACAAGACAGCAGGGTCAAAACTGAACATCGGTGCACCTGCCCGGTGTAAATCTGTCACAAAACATGGTGCTTTGAAAGGGTGCTGCTGCAAGCCGGTTTGTTACAACTTTAGTAGAGCCAGTGCAATTAGAAAGTGAAATTGTGATGCTATCAGTTATGAAAATATCTCATAATCCTCTGATATGTCAGATTAAAATGTTAAAAGCAAAGGCTTTATAAAGCACCAAGGTATTTGTGTCATCTACACTCTATGCACATCTTTTGTCAAGAGGTGCAATGTTCAGATTAATGGTTTACCTTCACTCGAACTTCATGGGCCTTAGGTGGAGCTACTTTCACTTCCTCAATGGAAAGAGGCTTACCAGCCTCCCAGGCCACTGCTGCCTTGCATTTGATCACCTGCGGATGAATTGAGAAGATATCAGTTCATAATTTTAGAAGTAAAGTTTTGCTAAGTCCTTTTCCCAATAAAATGAAGGTTATGTAAACTACTGCTCTGGATGATTTTATACAGATACAGTGCCGTTCGAGAAGCAGTTAGACGCACAAAACCATGTGATTTTTAATACAGTTAATGTACAGTATAGGAAAACCGGCCCAATATACGGTCAATCTCTATTTACATGTTGTAATAAATCTATGCTTAATGCCCGTTGAATGCAAAAATAAAGAGATTAGACTAACATGTTTCTGATCTTTCATGCATCCATTGCACATTTCTGCGTACAGAAAACAGGTCAAAGCAGCACAATGGATCGTTGTATACCAAGATCTGCACTCCTGTATTGCACAAGTGCTGTTACATATTTGAAACCGTTTTTGATTGAACGTCTTGGCGCTCGAGGTTTTTCACAAATAGTGCAAAATTACGAACATTAAAAGCGCCCAAATGCACACTAAATACTTCATCACGTAGTTCAAAGGGTGAGGGCAAATTTCGCTGCCAACTTACTTTCCCAGTTGTGTCCATGCTTTTCTTCCACCACGAGAGGTGGAAAAGAGGGGTGGGGCAAACTGAAGAACTGTTTCTTCAACCAATGAGAGACCAGGATGTGGCTACGCTTGAGCAAAGTTCGTTGTTTTTCTCAGCGCAAGCAGCGCTTCTCCATTTTATTGGTTTGTTGCTAAACGATTAATCTTTTGAATTGTAAACAATGAATCAATGAGCAGCTTTCCCTGCAACTAGAAATTGGGTGTCAAAGCATTTCTGATGCCTGTACACTGTAAATATGTAATAAGTTATGTCTGGAAATGGAACTTTAGGTCATGTGGTCTTTCAATGTCCACATGCATAACTATCAGCAGTTTCAGTAGTTGAAATAGGCTGGTGTATTTGTATTATATAATAATCACAAAATCAATTAGGAACTGTGGAATATACAGTGACCAAAATGCCATCCTTTAAGGTCTGAAATGTTGTCACTTGTCTATTTATCAGCATCTTCAAAAATGTATTATAATTGTTATTTTAAACTGTAGTCAGTGACATATTGTTTTTCCAAGAATAGTCAAGGCAATTTTCCAAGGCTGTCTGGTTCTGCACTGAAGATCTGGAAAAAACCCTGACTAAACACTTTGTCCAGCTGTTGATAACACTACACATTGCTTTTTTTATAAACAGTCTCTGACAGCTTTGCAGAGTCAGGAATCTCCCCCATTCAAAGTGGCTGTAACAACCCAGTATCTACACTTGAGCAATAGCAGATTCTTTTGGAATTTGTGAACAAACATGTTGGTAAATCACAGTAGATTTAGTAAAAACAAGTAGACCAAGTTAAAACTACAGTAATGCCATCAATTTTATTTAGCAAGTCCATGGTGGCATCTGGAGTTCAAATGAAACAAATTGCAATTCTGTAAATGCAAATATCCATTATAATCCAACAATGTTTTTTACATTATTATTATTAGTATCTGTGGAGTTGGCTTTACACTACATAACCTTGATGTTGCTCAAGTCTATACTGGTCCAACTGTCAGTGGATGCAAACCAACCAGTCAAGGTTATGGAGACACCCGCCCTCTTTGAACACAGGGATGTGGTAAAAGTTTGGGGTTGGTCTCTTATGCTCACCAAGGCTGCATTTATTTAATCAAAAAGACAGTAAAAACACACATATATATATATATTTTTTTTTTTTCTATTTTAATATATTTTACAATTTTATTTATTCCGTTGATGGCAAAGCTGAATTTTCACCAGTCATTACTCCAGTCTTCAGTGTCACATAATACTTCAGAAATCCTTTCAGTTTTTTTTTTTCAGGTTTCTTTCTTGAATTGAAAGTTCATTAATTTATTTTCATAATTACCTGATTTTCTGACACAGGTTGGTTTTAGGATTTTTACAAAACTTGCACTCTCCACATTGGGGTACATACAGCGGAATAACAGTATCACCTTCAACAAAAAAGTGAAAGAGCTTCAAGACGTCTGCATAACACCCAAAACTGCTCACATTTTACACATTAAATGTTATTCACGTGAGGGTAAATAGTCCATTTTGACATGCCTGGTTTGAATTTGGTGACCCCTTCGCCAACACTCTCAACAGTGCCTGCCCCCTCGTGACCCAGGATGACAGGAAACAAGCCCTCAGGGTCACTCCCACTCAGAGTGTAGGCGTCAGTGTGACACACACCTGTAGCATGAATCTAAAACATACAACTATGAAGACTTCTCACAGTTACAGATTTTGAACAGCTATGCATTTATAAATTACTTGATTGTTTAATTATTTTAATAAAGAACACAAACAGGCTTCTGCATAATCATGCTCAAGACAAGACTGCAGGGTCAAAACTGAACACCTGCCCGGTGTAAATCTGTCACAGAACATGGTGCTTTGACAGTGTGCAGCTGCAAGCTGGTTTTGTTACAGCTTTAGTAGAGCCGGTGCAATTAGAAAGTGAAATCTTGACTCTATCAGCTATGAAAACATCTCATAATACTCTGATATGTCACTTTAAAATGTTAAAAACAAAGGTTGTATGGAGCACCAAAGTACTCTGTGTTATCTACAATTTATCCACATCAAATAACCTATTGCTTTTGTCAAAAGGTACAATGTTCAGATTAATGGTTTACCTTCACTCGAACTTCATGAGCTTTAGGTGGAGCTACTTCCACCTCTTCAACGGAAAGAGGCTTACCAGCCTCCCAGGCCACTGCTGCCTTGCACTTGATCACCTGAGGATGAATTGAGAAGATTTCAGTTCATAAATCCTCTTAGAAGGATTGTTTTGGTAACTCATTTTCCCATAAAATGAAGGTTGTGTAAGCCACTGCTCTGGATGATGTTATGCAGATACAGTGCAGTTTGAGATGCAATTAGACGCACAAAACCATGTGATTTTTAATACATTTCATGTGCAGTATAGCAAAATCGACCCAATATATAGTGAATCTCTATTCATATGCTGTAATAAATCAAGGCTGAAAGCTCGCTGAATGCAACAATAAAGAGATCAGACTAACATGTTTCTGATTTTTTACGCATGCATTGTCACATCTGAAAACAGAAAACAGGTCAAAGCAGCACAATGGATCGTTGTATACCAAGATCTGCACTCCTGTATTGCACAAGTGCTGTTACATATTTGAAACCGTTTTTGATTGAACGTCTTGGCGCTCGAGGTTTTTCACAAATAGTGCAAAATTACGAACATTAAAAGCGCCCAAATGCACACTAAATACTTCATCACGTAGTTCAAAGGGTGAGGGCAAATTTCGCTGCCAACTTACTTTCCCAGTTGTGTCCATGCTTTTCTTCCACCACGAGAGGTGGAAAAGAGGGGTGGGGCAAACTGAAGAACTGTTTCTTCAACCAATGAGAGACCAGGATGTGGCTACGCTTGAGCAAAGTTCGTTGTTTTTCTCAGCGCAAGCAGCGCTTCTCCATTTTATTGGTTTGTTGCTAAACGATTAATCTTTTGAATTGTAAACAATGAATCAATGAGCAGCTTTCCCTGCAACTAGAAATTGGGTGTCAAAGCATTTCTGATGCCTGTACACTGTAAATATGTAATAAGTTATGTCTGGAAATGGAACTTTAGGTCATGTGGTCTTTCAATGTCCACATGCATAACTATCAGCAGTTTCAGTAGTTGAAATAGGCTGGTGTATTTGTATTATATAATAATCACAAAATCAATTAGGAACTGTGGAATATACAGTGACCAAAATGCCATCCTTTAAGGTCTGAAATGTTGTCACTTGTCTATTTATCAGCATCTTCAAAAATGTATTATAATTGTTATTTTAAACTGTAGTCAGTGACATATTGTTTTTCCAAGAATAGTCAAGGCAATTTTCCAAGGCTGTCTGGTTCTGCACTGAAGATCTGGAAAAAACCCTGACTAAACACTTTGTCCAGCTGTTGATAACACTACACATTGCTTTTTTTATAAACAGTCTCTGACAGCTTTGCAGAGTCAGGAATCTCCCCCATTCAAAGTGGCTGTAACAACCCAGTATCTACACTTGAGCAATAGCAGATTCTTTTGGAATTTGTGAACAAACATGTTGGTAAATCACAGTAGATTTAGTAAAAACAAGTAGACCAAGTTAAAACTACAGTAATGCCATCAATTTTATTTAGCAAGTCCATGGTGGCATCTGGAGTTCAAATGAAACAAATTGCAATTCTGTAAATGCAAATATCCATTATAATCCAACAATGTTTTTTACATTATTATTATTAGTATCTGTGGAGTTGGCTTTACACTACATAACCTTGATGTTGCTCAAGTCTATACTGGTCCAACTGTCAGTGGATGCAAACCAACCAGTCAAGGTTATGGAGACACCCGCCCTCTTTGAACACAGGGATGTGGTAACTTAAAACATCAGCCCTATTAGTATACCAAATAAAAAAATCTACTGCAGAAAAAGACACATATGGTACAAAACAAAGTAAAAAGTTCAGCTGTACAAGAGAGGCATCAACAGTCCAAATGCTGCTTCAGGCTTCTCACTGGAAGTCTCCCCAGCAGAAGAAAGGACACATTCCATACTGTGAGACCTTCATCATCTTCCACCTGCAAAACAAGTAAGAAAAATGTGACTTGTTTCTCCTACTACAATGAAGATGTTTTAATTGAAAGAAAAATACAGATCAGTAGGGCTGGGCGATATGGCCCAAAAAAATTATCACGCTATGTTTTTTTCATATCAGTCGATATCGATAATTATCACGATAAATGTCAAATCTTTATTTCTTTCAAGTTTAAAGCCAGATTTTTGCTCCAAAATGAAAGTTGTAGAAACCAGACCATTAATTTTCCTTAACAAAATAAATATCTAAATAGAAAAATTAATTTCTTAGTTTCTGCATGTTCTAATGAGTGATATTGTTTCAAATCAAGAAACAGATTTGGGTTGACTGATAATATTAATAATAAAGTAACGTTTTTGTCTCTTAGAAATGCACATTTGATAGTAGCTTGAGTTAGGATGCAGAGGTAAATATTTGTTCATTATCAAAATCAGTAACATTTGTAAAAATTGTAGCAACCTCAGTTTTATATGGTTACATTTATTCTG